TAATTGTTTCGAGGGACGTATAGTAACTTAACGACCCTCTGTTGGGGGGAAAATGGGTCGGCTATGTTGGTAAAAAGACTGTAAAATAATTATTGTGAAATTAATATCCCGTCCCCCTGACTTTGTGTGTGTATTACAGACACTGAACTATAGTAAACTGTGTGATGTATGTATAGGAGGGAGTTAGGTTGGGGGAGTTTTTTTTGTGGTCATATAACGTCTATTTGGAAATCAACAACTTTAATATAGTTTGATCATTTAACTGGGATTTTATGCATAAGGATTATGGGATGCAGTATGTCTTAATTTAGCAAATATTATGAATTTTAAGAATTTTAATTTTATTAATTTTTTTTAAAAAGAGCAGTGAATTTATTCTCTGGCTGTTTTATCTTCTTTTTAGCTGATCATCTGTTTTCTTGTAGATCTACTCAGACGAGGGAAATATGCATATTTTCCACAAAATTAAAATTCGAATTTCTAAATCTGTGCAACCTGACGGTGTAAACCTTTGATATTTCAACTTTAGATTATTTCATCTCAAGAGAATTCATAATTTGAAATATTAAATACGACATTGAGTTCCAAAGATATAAGGAATATACAATCTTGAGTTTGTGGCTAAAATTGAATTCTCTTAACGTAACATCCTAATCTTATTTGTTTTCAATGTTTTATTTTCGATCTATTATTAAAAAGCAAAAGTAAAGAACGAACAATTTTTTAATTTTTAATATAAAATTTAATAAATTTGCTTTTCATAATTACTAGAGGAGCTTCAAGGTTACAAAATCATACCAGTAAAGTATTTTATCAAATTAACCTTCTCCGTCCGTCTATTTTAGTTTTTATAGTCAGACTCATTTCTAAAGAGCGCAGAAATTGTATCAACATAAGTCTGACTTTCTTGCAATTTTCACCCCAGGAAACAATTTTTCCGACTTTATGTGCCGACGGCGAAGTTGGCGGGTTCTCGACTTTTAATGTTCGCCATCGGTTTGTCGAAGCCTAAATGTTTTCAGCTCTAAATAATCGCCAAAACTTATCTTTTTATGTCAAAAGGTTTCTTAAAGGGACTCTTAAGGTAAAATGAAGCCTAAACATTTTATATACCCCCTTTTCATTTTACCTTTACAGTCCCTTTAAAACATATTTTTCTTGTTTACGTGGTTATACTTAGGTTGTCATTTTGTCAAAATATAGAGATACAAAAAAGATGTTTATGTTATGTTATTATTCAGTGTTTTTTTCAAATATAGTTGTTAAAGGGACTGTACGCTTGATTTCAAGTGAGTAGTGACCCTCCAGGCAAATATAGTTGTTAAAGGGACTGTACGCTTTATTTCAAGTGAGTAGTGACCCTCTAGGCAAATATAGTTGTTAAAGGGACTGTACGCTTGATTTCAAGTGAGTAGTGACCCTCCAGGCAAATATAGTTGTTAAAGGGACTGTACGCTTTATTTCAAGTGAGTAGTGACCCTCTAGGCAAATATAGTTGTTAAAGGGACTGTACGCTGGATTTCAAGTGAGCAGTTACCCTCTAGGCATTTTAGTTGTTAAAGGGACTGTACACTGGATTTCAAGTGAGTAGTGACCCTCCAGGCAAATATAGTTGTTAAAGGGACTGTACGCTGGATTTCAAGTGAGTAGTGACCCTCCAGGCAAAGATGACAATGTCTGATTCACAATTACACCGGACTAACTAGAGTGAGCAGCATTCGGTTTCTTCTATTTTGAATCTAACGTGTTTTGGTCTTTTATTCAATAATCATTTACTTTACGGATTTGTTTATTTCATACATTTTCATTAAAAATGCATATGCCGACAAAAATTATTTGAGAAAAAGGCTAACAAATTATGTTTAATGGGTCAAATTGTGATCGAAAGTCACAGCTTTCTGGAATATTGACAAAACCGTTAAATCCACGTGCAATGTTGCCCTAACAGGCGTTGTCTGATCAAATATGAAATAGATTTCTGCTTGCTCCAAAAACGCGGCGTTTGGCTTATTGAAAATGCAAAAACAGTTTTACATCGTCATCCTCTTTTCCATAAGTATAGAATCGACATGACTGATTTCAATCAAGCAACATTTATGCTTAATTACACGAGTAATCTTCTCCTCATTCACCAACACTTTTTAAAAACTCGGAAATTTTTAAAGATCTCTTAACTCTCAAATTGACATTTTGAATAAGGGCTTTCTAGAATATCTTCCCTCTTATGCACTTCTTATGGAATAACCAGCCACTTGATTTAAAAAGAAGTGCCCCGGTAGGCATATTTAAACAAAGTTTGTCAGAAATGCTATTTTACTCCTTCATCATAAATTGCAATAAACCTCTTTGCTTTCAAATATAAATTTTGTTAGATTTTTGTATACATGCTTAATCTTATCTCCCAAACTTAAAATTAATTTACGCTTTTATGTGTCAGCTTGGTAAACTAGCAATATAAAACTTATTGTAAACTTTAAAATTCTTGTAATATTCGACATCTAGTTCATGTTTTTTTGTTAATTAATTTAGTTGTGGTTTTTCTATTTGTAAAGTTATCAAAAGTAAGCACTTTTAATCCAAGAAAAAAGACATTAACTTCAAGGAATAGCATTGTAAATCTGTCATTGCCTTCTTTGCATGGAGTTTCACTTAAAATTAGGCTTACAGTTCATTTCAGAGTTTTTTTGCTAATGTTTTTAAAAATGCGGTAAGGCGTAGAATTTTTAAGTGTTTTTCTTTAAATATGGATGAGAAAGTACAACTGCTACAGAACTTGTATTTTTAAACAACTTTTCCTCTGTTTCTAATATTTTTTCATAAACTTTGTTCAGACTTTATTGAACCAGAAAATGCAATTTAAAGTGATATGTTCAATTCACAACGGTGCCCTATCAACCTCTTTCCGAGTATACCAGAACGATATCGTTGTTCTGCCTTTGAAGGAAAAACAAAATTGTGACAATATTCTTTTTTGTCTTTGTGAATAAATCCACAACGTTTATTAGACACAAACGAACAGACAGACACCCAATTTGACAAGCAAAGTATTTATATAGATATCAAGCAGAAATTAAGGGATAAAATAATGACAACAGATTTTATTGATTCTAATTTATACAAAGGGTCAATAACGTGAAGAAATCAATGAAACAATCAAGAGATTTAACAACGAAAAGACAATCTAATCGATTTATGAAAGTGACTGTTCACCTTTTTTAACATATCACTTAAGTACCTTTAGTTTTCCAATATGTGAACAATCCCATTCATTTACAACAGTTGTGCTTTATTTGTGTATTTGGTTTTAAACTTTTTGTCGTTTTTATCCTGATTATTTTGTTGACCACTGTATTTACAACAACTGTTAACAAACATAATACATAATAGTTAACACTTTACTTCATCGAAACCAAGATATATCAGCACTTAAATTGGTCCAACATTTCTATTATAATAATGTAGTTTTTCAAAGATATAAACATGCGTTAGCTACATCTGAGTCTAAGTTTAAAAACGAATTTTATGGTCCTTTTCTCTGATAAATATATCTCTGATTATTTTTAATTATAATGTGAAGCCCATTGAGAGCAAACTTCAAATGTTAACATTTAGACCATAGTCAATATCCTTGGATTGGGGTACCCTAGTCCATATCCTTGGATTGGGGTACCCTAATCCATATTCTTGGATTGGGGTTTCCTAGTCTATTGTAGCAGGAAAATGATGTTTTGATCTTTCCTGCGACTGTAAATAGCATTTTGTTTTATAAATATATTGTAAGAAAAACCGACGCGTTGAATATTTGAGAAACTCAGTGCATTGCTTTATTGATTTTTATTCATATACTATACTATATCCTTGGATTGGGATACCCTAGTCAATATCCTTGGATTGGGGTACCCTAGTCCATATCCTTGGATTAGGGTACCCTAGTCCATATCCTTGGATTGGGGTTTCCTAGTCTATATCCTTGGATTGGGATACCCTAGTCAATATCCTTGGATTGGGGTACCCTAGTCCATATCCTTGGATGGGGTACCCTAGTCCATATCCTAGGATGGGGTACCCTAATCTATATCCTTGGATTGGGGTACCGTAGTCCATATCCTTGGATTGGGGTACCCTAGTCAATATCCTTGGATTGGGGTGCCCTAGTCCATATCCTTGGATTGGGGTTTCCTAGTCAATATCCTTGGATTGGGGTACCCTAGTCTATCCTTGGATTGGGGTACCCGGATTGGGGTACCCTAGTCAATATCCTTGGATTGGGGAATCCTAGTCAATATCCTTGGATATTTCTAGTTCACATTTCTTAAACAGTAGAAATATTGGTATCCATTTTTATGGTTAAAACACAACAAATGTAACAGGATTTATCAATTTTTACTACGTTCATGATTCATTACATCAGGTTTTCATAGAAAAAATAGATACAACATCTTTTTTAGGACATTATCAATGAGTGAAAATGTATTTTTGGAAACTATACATTTGAAAAATATACATTTGGGAAAAGTATATAATTGGGAAAAATATATATTGTGAAAGATATATATTTGGGAAAAATATGTATTTGGGAAAAATACGTATTTGGGAAAAATATGTATTTGGGAAAATGCATCTTTCGAAGAATTTATTTAAGTATGTATCAATATAAAAAACATTTTGGACAACATATAATTCGGAATATATACATATTATTTGTTACCATAAATATACATTTGGAAAAATATTATTTGGGAAAATATACATTCTTACTCAGCAGATTGAAAATGTTAAAAACATGAATGAAATTTCTCAAATACTTTACATTGTTATCTTTCATAACAACATATTTATTAAACTGAACACACTACAACATGAGAAAATATTCGGATTTTCGGGTTCCAAGTGGGGGGGGTCCCCCCCCCCAGCGTATCCTGGTTTTCAAGTACCCCAGCGGGGATAGGGTTAAGAAAATGCAGATAAACAAATTGAAAATAAAATTATATTTTCATGGAAAAGTTTGTTTAAATAATTAATTGCGAACAAAATTATGCATCAATCAATCAATCATGCAATCAATCAATCAACGCATATAAGTAGTTAGCTCAGGGTCGTGTGTGCAGCCAAAGTCTTCAATCAAGAGGTCTAACACAACCTCTGCTCAAAATGTTTAAGAGGTCTAACACAACCTCTACTTAAAGTGTTCAAGAGGTCTAACACAACCTCTACGCAAAGTTTTCAAGAGGTCTAACACAAATTCTGCTCAAAGTAATCAAGATATTTAACACAACCTCTGCGCAAAGTGTTCAAGAGGTCTAACACAACCTCTGCTCAAAGTAATCAAGAGGTCTAACACAACCTCTGCGCAAAGTGTTTAAAAGGTCTTTCACAACCTCTGCGAAAAATGTTTAAGTTGTCAAACACAACCTCTGCGCAAAGTGTTACAGAGGTATAACACATCTTCTGAGCAAAGTGTTTAAGATGGCTAAAATAACCCCCACGCAAAGTGTTCAAGAGGTCTTAAACATCCGCTAACATAAACTCTGAACAAAGTGTTCAAGAGAGCTATTCTCAACACTTCACCCGCTATTAAGAGTTTTATAAGCATAACCTATGAACAAAGTTTTTATACAGATTAATACTTTTTTTCTGAAGTATTCAATCAGGCTAAACTACTTTTTAAACTTTCTGATGATTGAAACTATCAAAGTGCTTAAGCAGCTTTAACTTCTAAGAAGACAGCATGTCCGTGGTTTTCAAAATTGCCTTCCATATCAAAATGTTTGAAGTCTCTACTAAGAGTTTGAACGAGTTTAAACCCATTTTAATCTAGGCGGACAGATTTGAATTTAGAATAATAGATTTGAACATAACGTTCAAATAATGAACATATCTAAACATAACGTTCATATAATGAACATATCTAAAGATAATGTTGATGCGTTGAACAAATCTGAATACAATGTTGATGTACCCGAAGAACTCTCAGACGTATGTATCCTGTACACCGTTCATTGTTTGAAAGCTCTCATTCTGAAATAGTTTTGTCGATAAATATTTTGCTTTTCTTGGTGTTTGTTTGTCTGTGCCTAATAAACGTCAAAACGGCTAAACAGATTGGGCACAAATTTTTATTGGCAACTAACATGACCCCAGGAAAAATTTATGGAATATCAAAATTGAAAATATTTGACCGGGAAAATACACCAAATTACACAGAAAAATCCCGCCAAATCGATTAAAAATGGCGACTTTCGGGGCAACAGTTAAAATCTAAAATTGTTCATAAGAAAAGAGGGTTCACAGCGCCTATAAAAGCCTAGTCGTCTATAGCATCTAGTAAAAAATATTATTTATCAAGGTTATAGTCTTTACAAATGCATGGACCTTATCGGAAATTTGAAACATTAATTTGTTTTTCCTGAGAAATTTCCTTGTTAGCACGAAATCTTGTGAAATATTTTTTTTTGACATTTAAAAAATATCTTTTCTGCAACCAGCCGATTGAAATGCTTAATATTTTGGTTTATTTTCTCATTTCTCTGAGATATCGAGATCTTGTCAGAGTTATTTTGAGATGGTTTTAGTTTTAGAATTGCCAAGAGCTTTAAAATCAAACTTTTCAAGGATTTAGACAGATCGATCAATTTTTCTCAGGAAAAAAAACTAAAAAAAATTTTACAAAAAATTTTAAATTTTTAAATTTTTAAAAATCTCAGTTATCTTCTACTTAAAATTTGTGATGTACAATTTGTTTTTGAATGATTAATTGTAGATTTTCCATAAAGTAAAAAAACAATATTTCTGAAAACTAAGAGCAGACTCGCAGCACTTTATTTTGTGTATTCTAGCGAATAGATTTAATTTTATAATTCGTTTTCAAAGAATCCTTTCAATTACTGTTGTTATTTTTTGTTGTTGTTGCAATTATGCGATTTTGGGGAAATCTACAGCATCTACGAAAATAATTTAATCATCCAAAACTAGTCTTTTATGGGTGCTTTACGTGGATTAATAGACTACATGTGATTTGTTTTTAACTAGATTAAAAAAAGACATTTTTATAGGCTAAAGTTTTACGCCAGGCCATATACCTTTCCCAGGCTTAGCTTCTGCAAATAATTTTACCCCGTTTGGTTTCCTCGTTTTCACTTTATTTTTGATACAAACAAACAATTGAAAGAAAAAACAACAATTCAACTTACCCGAGCAATGTTGCAGACAGTGTCATTCGGAACATCTTGATATTCAGTCACCGTACTGCAATACAATACGGTGAGAAACAGAAATAATGGAATATGAAGACGACATTATAGCAATTCTTACGTTTATTTGATATTGTCACAAGGCAAATTGTTATACTAGACAATTATCAAGTCACTAATTAAATGAAATTGGACTGTTTACACTGAAAAATTGCTGTTTCTCATGCTCATTGAACTAGTTAAAAGTTATAACTTGATACTAAAAGTCCTCTTTCTATTTCAGAGTTTTCTGGTTATCACTGTAGAGGAATACATTATTAGAAATAGCTAAAAGGGTAAATATTGTGTTTTGAAAAAAAAAAACAATGTAAGAAAAGAATATCGGCAGACTTAGTGCTCTTCACCTTAACATAATGTTTTATAACGTTCATTATACATAAAAACAAGTTATGAATAGCTAACAATAGATACCTGTTTCATGCCTGTTCCCCCTGTATTGTTACACAATATGTTAAACATATATAACACCAAGTTAGAATTATAAAACGATATACACCTGTTTCCCCTGTACTGCTTTACAATATAGATATAGAAGTTTACAGATGAGTTGAGAACAGTAAGAACATGTGAGACTTGAACCGTCTTTAGAAAAAAACTTTTCAATTTGATAAGATTTTTAATTTTTCAAATTTGAATATTTAATAGGGCTGAAACTTTAAATTTCACAGAAATTAATATTCAAATATCTTAAAATAGTAATAAAATTTTCAGATTTAAATGAATAATTTAAAATTTAAAAAAAACTCCCCCTTACAACGATAGATTTCATTTTAAGGGATTCTCTCTTGGCAAGTCAGATTCACAATAGCTCTCATGCAAAAATCGATAAAAATGTTGCAAAGGAACTGAGTTTCTCATCCCAATATTTGTGCAATTCAATTTCGGAGACCTTTGAAATTTCAAACTATGAATTCTTTTATATCACATAATTACAGTTTGAAAAATTGAGGGTTTACACCATAAGGTTGCAAAGATATTAGGTATTAGAAGATCAGAATTTGTGGCAAAAAATCAGTTCCTTACTTCTTAAAAACCAAAGCTAACAACATGTGCTTTAGAGTGCTAAACTGTACATGTAAAGGTCCAGAATAAAGTAAAAGTGAGTCACGGTCAGCCGTATAGTACATATGAATTTCCGAGCTGGGTCAACCAATTTCCGGTCCCAGTTTGTAGAGACCGGACATTGGGTAAATAATAGGAATAGCTGCAGTGCAACAAGGTTGACGCGGTCAGACTTAAAGGTTAAATTTACTTAAATTGAATAGTAAGGGGTGCGTGAAGTTAGAGTGGGTGAATTCAAAGCCCAAGGCGTTGCGTCTTAAAAATTTATGAAACTTTTTATAAGCAGGCTGAATCTATGTAGACATATCTCTTCCTTATTACTTAGATGAAGCTTAAAGGAAACTGTTGTGAATTGAGAGTAAATTTAAATTAGACCGACAGTCCCTTTAGCACCCAATTTCTTCAGAAAACAGTCTCTTAAGCACCAAATTAATTCAGAAAACAGTCCCTTTGGCACCAAATTCATACAGAAAACAGTCCCTTTAGCACAAAATTCATTTAGAAAACAGTCCTTTTAGCACCAAATTAATTTAGAAAACAGTCTCTTTAGCACCCAATTCATTCAGAAAACCGTCCCTTTAGCACCCAATTCATTCAGAAAACAGTCCTTTTAGCACCCAATTCATTCAGAAAACAGTCTCTTTAGCACCCAATTCATTCAGAAAACAGCCTCTTTAGCACCCAATTCATTCAGAAAACAGTCTCTTTAGCACCCAATTCATTCAGAAAACAGTCCCTTTGGCACCCAATTCATTCAGAAAACAGTCCCTTTAGCGCCGAATTCATACAGAAAACAGTCCCTTTAGCAACAAATTCTTTCAGAAAACAGTCTCTTTAGCACCCAATTCATTCAGAAAACAGTCCCTTTAACACCAAATTCATTTAGAAAACAGTCCTTTTAGCACCCAATTCATACAGAAAACAGTCCCTTTAGCACCAAATTCTTTCAGAAAACAGTCCCTTTAGCCCCCAGTTCATTCAGAAAACAGTCCCTTTAGCACCAAATTCTTTCAGAAAACAGTCCCTTTAGCACCCAATTTATTCAGAAACAGTCCCTTTATCACACAATTCATTCAGGAAACAGTCCTTTTAGCACCCAATTCATAGATAAAACAGTCCCTTTAGCACCCAATTCATTCAGGAAACAGTCCCTTTATCACACAATTCGTTCAGAAAACAGTCCGTTTAGCACCCAATTCATAAAGGAAACAGTCCCTATAGCAATCAATTCATACAGAAAACAGTCCCTTTAGCACCCAATTCATTTAGAAAACAGTCCCTTTAGCACACAATTCATTCAGAAAACAGTCCCTTTAGCACACAATTCATTCAGAAAAACCTCTTTCATCCTTTTCTCCACTTAAACCGGGGTTTCAAGAAGAGAAAATAAGTGTTTTTAAGCAGAAATGTAAAGATCTTGTCAAAACATTTCACACAAAGGTATATTTTAAAGATTTAAACTTAAAAAGATTTAAAATCTACAGATTTAAGGATTTAATCATTTTCAAAAGTTTTTTTCCTTGGTGATCCACGCCGGCCAGACTATTTCACTCTAAAAAAAACAAAAATTAAGAATAGAAAATAAAAACAAATAAAAGAAATACTTAAAAAATGTTCACTGTAAATCATTTGATATAATATCGAAAAAAACGAAATATAAACCACTATGCACAATTTTATATTATTATTTAACCAGACCAGCCTTAAAGGGGGGGGGGCGGAGCACAGTGAGGTATTAGGGGAGGGTCAGCCAAAATGAATTTATTCCAGAAACTTTTAATCATGCCAAATAAGGCTTGGCTGATAAGATTTTTTTGAGAGAAGTCTCTATAAGTTGTATAAATGTTTTGTTCGTTGTAACAAAGACGACATCTAACTTTATTGCAGGATTACAGGATCCATTCAAGGATAAATATATGAATAAGAAAAGCAATTATAAATTAAAATCATTATAAATCAATGCAAGCTATAACAATTCTTTACACAATATTTGTAAATGAAAAGATTATCAGAATATATACATTTTGTGCATTCTCAACATGAAACACGCGACAAATCCATTAAAGAGGAGTATTGCGATAAAACAGTCACCCCCCCAATTACCCTTTAATTATCTAGAAACTTCTAAACTAAAAACTTGTTTATGTATTTTTACCATTTAAGAAAGGTTCATTCTGAAATGCATTGCACCGTACTTTACTTTGAACTTTTTTTTAATCCATTGTTAGACACTTTCAGGATTTTTGATAAGTTTGAGGAGAAAAATTACCATTTCCTGACCCTCCTGAGTATGGGAGAGTTCCCACAGATTGGGAATCCATCTTACACCATGACATACAAGGAATACTAAACAAAGATCATATGATGATGAGATAATCATGCTGATGATAATGATAATGATGATGCTTATGATGATGATGATGATGATGATGATGATAATAATGATGACAACGATGATGATGATGATAATAATCATGATGATGATGATGATGATGATGATGCTGATGATTATGAGGATGATGATAATGATGATGATGATGATAATAATCATGATGATGATAATGAAGATGATGATGATAACAATAATGATGAAGATGATAATGATGATGATGATGATGATGATGATGATGATAACGATGATGATGAAGATGATAATGATGATGATGATGATGATGATGATGATGATGATAATGATGATGATGAAGATGATAATGATGTTGATGATGATGATGAGGATGATGATAATGATGATGATAAACATAATGATGATCAAACAAAGCTTTTAGGGGTATGGTTGTGAATGGGAATTATAGCTTTCAGTCCATTAAAAATGTTTTTGCTAAATATGAAGTCAGGTATTTTGTAATTTGAGGGCTAAATAACAGCAAAAAGTGATGATTAATTTAAAATTAGGCTTTTTAAAAAATAAAGCTTTATTTTACCTGCTACGATAACGAGACTGACTTGAGTAAGGGCTAGCTCTCGTTTAGAAGGTCCCTGAACATTTTTTTATTAAAGGGAGTGTTCACAAAAATGATAAAAACGTTTAGTTCTTGTATATAATGTGTTTGCAATATTGAGGCCTAAATCTCCTATTTTATGAAGACGTTTTAAATAAAGTGTTCAATAATTTGTTTTTCAATGTATACCTTTTTAAAATCATGATATGCTTAGAATTTTCCAATTATGAATATTTTCCAATTGATTTTTTTTCCCAAAACGAAAGTTTTCTTTGATAATCTGTCAAATTCGTAAACCATCATGTTTCAATACAAATGGAGTTTGTAAAATTGAAACTAAAATCTTAATTACTGATTTAATTGATTAGAATATATTTATCAGATGAAATGCAACATTTTTTAAACTTTCAAAGGAAAATTTTGCTCTGTTGAAATTGAGTTCAGTTGCAAATTCAAAGCACTATCCTTGGACTTTATTTTACAATACATTTACTAAGCATCGTAAACTGTACAGTGTACACTGTACAGTGTACACTGTACAATGTGCACCGAAGTTTAAAGTAAGTCGATTGTGTCTAGTAGTCTACTGTATGATATTGATTTAGGTTAGATATAATAATTGATTAAAACTTTCATATCAGATGGATTGGTGTATAGTTAATTGAAAATTAGATATTTTTAAATTAGATTTTCATAAAATTGAATTTTCAAAAACAATAAGATGCCACTAAATTGTTGCTAGATGTCAATCATGAATGGATTGATTGGTTAATTAATTCATTTAAAAAATTTACCTGCAGAAAGTTTGTGGAGACTAGACTTTTAATCCTAAAAAGAAAAAGAAATTATAAAAATGAAATGGATAAAACAAATTCAATATATTTGTGTGGATGCAAAATCAATTGAATCTCAAATTGCAAAGAAAGTTTGAAAAGATAATTTTTTTATTTTTTGCAGAAATCCACATTGCATGAAGAGAAAATCAATTGAAAACGTTAAAATATCCTATTCATTGATCGGCTATAAATACTTTTGATCGGCGTGATCGGACAGTATCTTCATCCACAAGTAATTTTTATTTTAACATTTATAACCAAAAATGAACAACAAAGCAAACACACAACAATTATGAAACAAACCTTTCTACAAGAATTTAAAGCTTTTTCAAGAGAATTTGCAAAGCATTAAATGATTTTCAAACGTGTGAATGGAAAACCTTGTTAAATCTTTGAAAGGATATTTTTCATCCTATACATCAAAGTTCCGGTTAAAATTGATTTCTTTCTTGAAATTCTTTGTCCAGCCTTCTTAACATTTTTTTTTCGTCTAACTATTTTATCGTATTTTTTTAAGATTATGGAGTTCATGATAAAATTGGACGTGAAAAAATCTAGAAATCGTTGCGCGTTTTGAACTTTAGATTACGTTTTTTTATGTACTCTACATTGAGCCGGATATTTAGGAGAGATATATTGATGAACGAAACTCCCAAGTTTCATTTTTTGGGGCTTTAGCAATAGCATTGCATTACCTGAAGTATATCCGGATATTGAGGATGAGAAGCGCCAGGATTGGGATTACACCATGGATGAATAGGTTCAGGTAGGTGAGGTAAACCTTCAATAGGTAGGTAATTATGTATATAAATTAAAGGCAGGTAGGGGTAGGTAGGTATGTAGGTAGTAGAAAGGTAGGTAGGTAGGTAGGTAGGTAGATAGGTGTAGGTAGGTATGTAGGTATTCCTGCATTTATAAACACTTATTGCTTTAGAAATGAATAAATCCAACAAATACACTAGGGGATCCCACATATACATGGATTATCGCTTTTAAGTCCCAAAAATCTTTTTACATAACTCAAAGAATATACAAGAGATAGAAAAAATGCAATTAATCATGATGATAGTCTCCTAGAAGAGGATTTTATTTTAAAACCTTTCCTGCATTTCCTTTATTTTACTGTGCTGTAAAATAAACAATTTCATAAACCATTTTAATCAATATAAAACTTAATAAAAATTGCTCTGAACACTGCCATTTTTAATCCCATTTTATGTATGATTGTTAGAACATGATTTTTCTTATAATTGATATACTTTCATACGTAAATTTAACATTAAGGGTTAGATACATGGAGCAGGTCTAGTATAAATATTTAGATATTTAAATATTTTGAATAAAGTGAGTGTTCGCGAAAACTGAAGCGGACTAAAAGAAAATGATTAAATTGTGGTTTAGCAGGCCTATACAATTATATAATTTTTGTGTTTCCTTTTCCTGTTCAATAAAATTCACAGCTGTGAAAATTTTGCAAATATTCATTTCCACATTTGCAAAAATGCGGATATTATTTTTACTATGGTTGAAAAATAAATTATTTACCCAGTTTTTATAAATCAATACGACTGATTGTTTTATCCTGCGAATCAAAATAAAATAAAGTTTTAATATGAATTTTTTGAGAATGAATTGACGATAAAAATATTTTATTCTTAATATTTTCTTTTATTTTGACCCTGACAGAAAATATTTGGAAATAACGATCCCAAAACGATCCAAAAGTGATTGTCTAACGATCTGTTTCATTTTAATGATTAATTGAAAAGATGAATCGAAGCAAATAGATACAGTTTTGATAAAAAGTTTTTATTAAACTTACAAAAACTAGCCAAAATACCTTCTTCTTAAGTCTGTTAGTTTACCGTACAAATTCTTAGCTTGTGTTGACCAAAAGATGGTACGGTCTTAGGCGATTATATCAATATAATGAAGACAACTTTTTGATTTAAGTTTCGATTGATAACAAGCTTATTTCGAATTACAAATTTACAAGTAATCACAGAGAAGCTTTTTTAGTTGACAGCTTCCCTTGACTTGTGTGACTATGTGTATCCACGCTGTTAAACAGCTGATATTTATCATAATTTAACTCTAAAGCCGTCTTCATTGTATTTTTATAATCGTCTTCCACTGTACTTCAAATGAACCGTAGTTTTTTTTAATTTGTATAAATACCTGGATGTAGGTTTGATTACTCCGCAGCCGTGTTGGGATTAAACTCTGAAATAATAAAATTGATAGATGATAGATAGATAGATAAAACAAGGTGATAATTAAATAGATAGTTAGATGTGTAGATAAATACAAAGTGATAAAAAGATAGATAAATAGATAGATAGATAGATAGATAGATAGATAGATAGATAGATAGATTTTAATTGCTGGGGCTCCTATAACAGATACTTAAACTTATTATGTATACAAGAACCTATTATGTTTAAAGAATTTGAGCCAAATTAAATTAAATTAAATATTCAAACAGAGAGTATATCATCAACCTTCACTGCGAAATCATGAAATATAACGTTTTATTTTTAAATGTCATGATACAGATATATTGAATTTGATCTAGATTCACTATTTACAGATAGATTCATTGTATATTTTTAGTCTTAAATTATTCAAAAGTATTTAATTAAAATGCAACCTGAGAAATTCACTCAAGAGGGACATTGTACTTCAGTTTAACGAATCCACATTGCGCTTGCGCCCAAAACTGTTTTGAAATTTATCTGAAAGCTCGATTATAGCAAAATTTCAGATTTTTTTTGTAATTTTCCATTCTGTTTAAACTTCATTATATTAAAACATAAACTATCTATTTTGGTAATAATTTGTAGATGTTTGAATTATTGGAAATAACATACAAATATTAGGTTTGAATTAATTTGGAAAATTAGATATGGAATTTTTAAACTTTAAATCAGAAATTTTTTTTTCTCTCCCCTCTGTTTAGAATCTATGTAAGAAAGTCACGGGAAAAAAGTTTCAGGGTAAAAACCTGGAGATAAAAACTTTGGGTCTTCAGGAAAAAAAGTCTTTTAAAGGTTTTGAATAAGTGTACAACTACAATTATATACAGTGGAAGATTTATATTCTTAAATAATATGAAAACATTGACCTATTACAGGACTTTTTAAGATAGAGAGATAGACAGATTGATAGATAGATAGATAGATAGATAGATAGATAGCTAGAAAGATAGATAGATAAATAGAAAGATAGATAGATAAATAGATTGATAGATGAAAGGATAGATAGATAGTAATGTAATATGTATTTTTTGAGCAGGGTAATTTCTAAAAGTGGTTTTATGAATTAAATCTTCATAATCAAATTTTTCTAAAACCTTTAACATAAATTATTAAAGAAATGATAAATATTTAGTTTAAACAGGACTGGATGGAGAAATATTTTTATACTGCGTCATAAAATCAAATTATTGAATTTGTGAGAAAATGCTATTTTACTTTTATATCTGTTAACTTTCATTTGTGGTTTACTCTGCAAAAACGGCTTGAGCATTTCTTGCTAAAATTAAACAATATAGAAATGATCAGAATCAAACCCTTTTCCAGTCAGACAAACCGACTATCTTCCACATTTTTCATCATATATAGCTTTGTTAATCGGGCCTTGCCATCTTTCCATGAAGGCTCATTTAAAATTACGCGCGCACGCGCACAATTTAAATTGAACATTTCTAACCAGACGTTGGCCAAGAGTTTCGTTTTGGAAGTTGATCCAGTCTTCAGCAGTCAGGTTTTCTAGGGAGAACTAAATCAAAGATAAAAAAATAAACAAATATTTTTTTTAATTTTCGAATAAAATACAAACCTCTGTCTGGTTAAATTTGTCCGTCAAGTTCTTAAATCCTTCCTTGTTTATGTAATCGTACTCAGTCTTAAATAATATAAAATTAATAGTTTTATAAAAATTATTGTTGTAGAACTTTAGAAGATAACAAAGCTTTTTAAAACTGAATATTTTTATTTTCCGTTAAGTTTTACATGTTAACATTTGTATAACAAATATATCTTGTATTTATAACATTGGTTCAGGTACGGAATTGAATTTTACATATTTAATAAATAGATAAATAGATAAAAGGTTACAAAGCTAATAGCTCAGTTAAAAACTATTGGCGATGATTTATTGAAATTGTAATCTCGAAGTTTAATCATTAAAAATATGAAATAATTAGGGGTGAACATTATGCAAATGGCTCATGGATATAATTGATCAAGTTTTGAAAATAAGTATAAAAAATTCTTCATTTTTTTATATTATACCCAAATTTTTTTATTTTACCCCTAAAATTAGTTTCGTTCGTCTGAAGAAAAGATTTATTTTTTAAAGAACGCGATTTTTAGAGCGTGATAGATGATATTTATTGAGTGGGGTTAATTTTTAAAAATGCGATGGTGTGTGGGGGGGGGGGGCGTGAGAGAAGAATCATTTGGAAGATTTTTTTACCGTTAATTCGAAGAATTTTGGCAGATTGAAGAGAAGGGAAAAGACGACAATTGGGATTAAATACATCCTTGCTTTCCACTCAGCAGAGAACTAAATAGAATTAACATTAGAGAAAAATGAAATTCAGTCAAATAAACTTAGCATTTTGTTTGTTAAGAAATGTAACCATAAGAAATAAAATATTTATATAAATCTAACGAATCAATTACTCATCGTAAAGTTAAATCTGAAAACATCTGAATCATTAACATCTGAAAGCTAGAAGGCTGTAAGTTGGAAGGCTCAAAAAAGTAGAAGGCTGTAAGCTAGAAGGCTTAAGAAAGTAGACAGCTGAAAGCTGGAAGGTTCAAGGAAGTAGAAAGCTGAAAGCTGGAATGCTTAAGAAAGTGGTAAGCTGTAAGATGGAAGGCTCAAGAAAGTAGAAAACTGAAAGCAAGAAGGGTTAAGAAAGTAGAAAGCTGAAAGCTAGAAGGCTCAAGAAAGTAGACAGCTGAAATCTAGAAGGCACAAGAAAGTAAAAAGCTGGAAGCTAAAAGGCTCAAGAAAGTATAAGCAAGCTGAAAGCTAAAAGGCGCATGAAAGTAGAAAGCTAAAAGCTAAAAGGCTCAAGAAAATAGAAAGCTGAAAGCTAGAACGTTCAAGAAAGTAGATAGCTGTAAGCCGGAAGACCATAAGAAATAAAATATTAATAAAATCTAACGAATGAATTACTCATTGTCAAGTTTTTTTTCTATTTATTTCCAAACAGATGATAATATACATCAGAAGGAGGCGTACCCAGGGGGGGGGGGTGGGTAACTACTCCCCTTGGAAAATTTAAAAAAAAAACCAAGACGAACTCCCCTGTATACGCCATAGATATCAGATCTTAAATTGTTTCAAATAATTAATTCTGCTTGATCAAAAAGTCAATGTTTGAAATTCGGTTACAAGGATTTGAGAATTATAAAAGTAGGGTTTAAGGTGAGTTATTAGTTCCCTTGTTTATATTAATACGATGAAGACTACTTTTCTTTTTAAGTTTTGATTTCTAACAAGCCTTTATTAATTAAAAGCTAGTTTACTTGTAATCTTTTATTTGATAGCTTCTCATTGTTTCCAAGTTTATTTTATGTGTATCCATGTTGGAAAGCTTGGTAGAAATCAAAATTGAAATAAAAACTCATCTTTATTGTATTGATATGTACGACGACTGTAGTATACCTTAAAGAAGGGGTGACACACGATTGTGTACCTCTCTACAGCAATTGCCACCGTACAGTAGATAGATCCTGAAATACAATAATAGATTCTGAAATACAGTAGATAGATCCTGAAATACGGTAAATAGATCCAGAAATACTGTTAATAGATCCTGAAATATAGTAATTACATCATAAAATAAAGGAAATGTATTTATTTTTATTAAATTTTTCCCCATATTTAAAACAAATATATTATTGATAAATATAGTTTTTAGCTTTATTTTAATTTCAAAACTATTTAAAAGATAAAATATTGAAAAATATTGATTTTTACTTGCATTGTAGAATTTACTTTACAACCTATTTATATATTTTGCATTTTTTTTGCATTTTAAGATTTAGAAGAATTTAGATAATATAATATGAAACGCGCGTTGTTTGTTTTACTGTATATTTTGGAGAAACCTGCCCTTTTATATAAAAATATCTAGTTTTATAAACATTCCAATTTTAACCTTGTATAAAGATATAATGATTTTATTTTGCATTGCATGATTTAGCGTAATTATGATCTTATCCGGAAACAATCGGAAATGATCAAACATAGAAAATGTTTTTCAAAAGATTTAAACTATACATATATCGGAACTTTTTAGCGAGGAGTATCATCAATCTTGAACGCTCGATCTCGACATCCAATACGGGTATTTTATTTATACATTCTTGATTCCCACAATAAAGTTATTCTTACAATGTATAATCAAAACAGAGTTAGAAAGAAGAAAAAGAATGATAAAGAAGAAGAAAGAGAGAGAGAAACAAGGTGGAAAAAAGAGTGGAAAAGGAAAGATGAAAATAACAGCTAATTTTGTATTTAAACATGATAAACTATCTTGTAGCTTTAACTGCTAACCACGCACCTCTGCCCCTTTAGTAAAAGTAAACTAAACCTATATGAAGCATAAAGTCTGATCGTGTCAACCATGTTGCACAGGCCAGTCCTGTTGATGGTCTTCTTTATTAACCCAATGTCCGTGCGGTTCAGTGCAAACTGGGACCGGAAAGGTTGACCCGGATCGGAAAATCAAATGTACTACGGCTGCCAGTGTAACGTCCATCAACTCCAGATTTTCGGTAACCCAAGATTCCCAAATACAAAACTTTTAATTTGAGAGCAGAGAAGTCAATTCAAACTTTCTGTATGAAATACATCTATATAAAAATGTTACGTTTTGAATAGAATCGTCTCGATCCATCAAGGAGTGAGATATCCTGAGGCCGAATCTAAAGAATTTGAGCCGCGGCTTAAATTTGAGACGCGGCTTTGAAAAGTGTTCAATGTTTCAATATTTAAGCCGGCCCTCAATTGAAACCGATTTTTTTGCGGATTTAAGACGCGGCTCACAATCTTTAAATTAAACTCCGGAATTTTAAAGGGACTGTAAAATCAATTTTAGAGTGACCCTCCATTTATAGAGTGGCATGTACAATTCACAACGACATATTTATGCTACAGAACCAATGGAGGATCTTGTTATTTTCAAGCTAGACAAACGACGATATCTCCCATATTGTTGATCAGAAAAGGTTATCAAGATATATGCTCCTCTATATATTGAGGGTCACATGAAAGGAATTGAGTCTTTGTAACAAACTCTGATTTGCAATTCCCTATATCTCTGGAACCCAATGTCGTAGACATTAGATATTTCAAACTATGAACCCTGTTAGATTGAATATTCAAAGTTTAAAATATCAAACGTTTACATTATCAGAATGGAAGGATATAGGGATACAAAAACTTATGTTTGTGGCAAAGACTCAATTTCTTTGACCGACCTTTACTCTCAGAATGGTTTGTATCCTTGGATTTTCACTTCTAACTTTGACACAGTACTTTCTTAAGATTTATGGCAACGTTCAGCATTATTTTGATAAATTATAAAACCCTTCTAAAACCTACATTAACCATATTTCTACTTCTAAACTATAATATAATATATGAAATATTTAAAATATATAAAATATATGAAATTATAAAATATATTTATTATTTATTATTTATCAACACAAGCAATGAGGGAGCTAATGATTTATATCAAATGATAATCTGCGCAAACTTTTTTATTATGTTTCAATCTTTGCAACCCGTTGTCGTAGTCCTTTGATATTTCGAAATATTATTTGTTAAATCGAAATATGTCTAAATTTGAAATATCATCAGTTTAGTTTGTGACAATAGCTCAGTTACTTTTCCAATAGTGCAATAATAAGGACTAGCTGAAGAGCCCGGCGTTGTCCGTGGAAATTTTTTTGTTTTAAAAATTAGAGATAAAAATTGAAAAAAATTGGAGTTTTTTTAGTCTAATACCACCCGGCCACCCATGAGTGTCCACACATAGTTTCAGCCCAATCGGTCCAGCCGTTTGGCCGGCAATACGCTGCATGCATATATAAATGTACGGATGTCTTGTTTTATTTTATAGATATCATAAATTAATATTGTTTTTTTATCTAAAATAATCAAAAAATTCCGACATTATTCTTTATTGTCTCTGCTGGAAAACTTAGCATTCTTTTATATTAAGACACCAGTGTGACTCGTTAAAACATTATACTTTACTGATAAAGCACACTCATTTTAAGGATTGGTCCTTTTCCAGAAAGCTGTCAATTTCGATCACATTTGAAAACTTTTAACAAAATTCTTTGTTTTTTTCAAGTCTACTTTTTTGTTGGCGAATGCGTTTTTGATGAACATTTATAGAAAGACATCTTTGTAATTTTAAAGATTATTGAATTAAAAACCAAAACGAGATAGAATTTAATTTGAAAAAAAAGAATAGAATTAGCTCTCATTCTGTAGTTGAATATATGCATTATTCTCTCCACCGGAGAATCTTAAAGCCAGTAGAGATTTGTTTAAAATTGAATTCTAAACCCTTCATTTTGGTTTCATACGTTTAGCTAGATGCATTTCTGGAAAAGGGGGGAGGGAACACTAATAATATTTATTTATTTATTTATTTATTTATTTATTTTCGAGAACGTACACAATTTAAATAATTGGTACAGTTAAACAGAAGAAAAAAACTATAAGAGTATATATATCCAAAATTAATACAAATAGAAGAACAAAATCATGCTGTATATAATATAAAAACTAAATTCCAGAGAAGATTATGTAATGTCTAATGATTTACAGTGGGGCCCATAAAACTATGGAATAAGAGGACGAAATTTTAGCAATTCGATGTGCATTTAAAGGAAGTGTTCGCGAAAAAAGGGGGTATAGGCTTACGGCGATAAATAATCTTCTAAATTATTTGTTTGATATTAATTTGATTTTTTACGGTATGAGACGTTTTTAACAATTTTCTCCATATAGATGCAACAGATAGAAGTAAGATTAGTAACGATCTGAAGCGATTATTTATCGCCGTATAATTTGGTGATGATGATGGACCAAACCTCTGTAGAGTAAATAAAGTAGATGTTAGATCCACATTTTATTGAAAATATATTTCGGACTGGGTTGACCCTCGTCAGTTCTTGAGATTGTTTCTGTCATGAAAATCTTTCCATCAAATAGATAATCTTTTTGGATTTATAGAACTATTTTTCCATCAAATAGATAATCTTTTTGGATTTATAGAACTATTTTTCCTTTTAGTCCAAATGTTGAAATGTCGGGATCTTAAAAATGTTTTCAGTAAAGGGTGTCCCAAAAAACATGGGAATTCAGTGACGAATTCGATATCGTCTTTTTAACTAATTCTTTGATTTAGTATAGTAATACCTACTGAGAAAGCTGTAATCTGTAAGAGTTTCGTCTGCTATGTTCACATTTTGTTTGTTTATGTTTTGACTGCAATAGGTTGTACTTAGTAAAACAAGAAAATTGTCCGCAAATAATTCCAAGTTTATAGAACTTCAATCTTTTTTGTTAACTATAGTGAAAACCATAGAATTTTTCCGGGTGGTTCCATGGGGAAAATTATAGGCAGAATATGCCGAATATTTTGCTATTTATTTTATATCACAAAGGTTAGCCAGAAGAGATTTAAAATTTACCTAAATAAAGTTTGACATCATTCTCATGGGTTTGAAGATTTAAACATGATATAATCATTGCAATATGTTATGCCCTGACGTGGCTAGATTTTAAAAAAAATAGTTTTATCTTCAAGAATTGGAAACTTTTTAACACACATAATCGAAGGAAGAGGATTCCGAGGTGGCTCGGACGAGAAAATGAGGAGAATGTGGCTCAGACAAGAAATTGTTGTGGCTGGCCTTCCTCCCCTCGTTCAACTAGACTATGAAATCTATCCGAAGGGTTCAACTAGACTATGAAATCTAACCTAAGGGTTCAACTAGACTATGAAATCTAACCTTAGGGTTCAACTAGACTATGAAATCTAACCTAAGAGTTCAAATGGACTATGCAATCTAACCTATGGATCAACTATGACTGTGAGATCTAACCTAATAGTTCAACTAGACTATGAAATCTAACCTATGGGTTTAACTATATCTATGCTATCTAACCTTAGGGTTCAACTAGACTATGAAATCTAACCTAAGGGTTCAACTAGACTATTAAATCTAACCTTAGCTTAGGGTTCAACTAGACTATGAAATCTAACCTAAGGGTTCAACTAGACTATGAAATCTAACGTACTTAGGGTTCAACTAGACTATGAAATCTAACCTAAGGGTTCAACTAGACTATTAAATCTAACCTTAGCTTAGGGTTCAACTAGACTATGAAATCTAACCTAAGGGTTCAACTAGACTATGAAATCTAACGTAAGGGTTCAACTATAACTATGAAATCTAACCTATGTGTTCAACTGGACTATAAAAGCTAACCTTAGTGTAAAACTGGACTATGAAAGCTAAACTTAGTGTTTAAATGGAGTAAAAAAGCTAACCATAGTGTTTAAATGGACTATGACAGCTAACCTTGGTGTGTTCAAATGGACTATGACAGCTAATCTTAGTGTTTAACTGGACTATGATAGCTATACCTTAAAGTTTTCAAATGGACTATGGATGCTAATATTCGTGTTTAACTAGATTTTGAAAGCTAATCTTAGTGTTCAAATGGACTATGAAAGCTAACCTTAGTATTTAACTGGACTATGATAGCTAACCTGTGAGTCCAATTTGAGCCAAGGGAAGTCCAAAAGGAATGATCTCGATATAAGCATCGTAGGTTGTCAATCTAAATATCAACATTTACGAATATATCTAATAATTATTTTCACAGATCAAAACAAACAAAAAAAAATAAGGAATTACGCAAAACCACCCCTTGAGTGCAATATTTGTTTACAAAAAGTTCTGCTCTGCTAAAGTCTGGATTCGCAGATGAGAATTTAAAATGACTTGGCGCTACCCTGGCGCTACCCATATCCTTTAGAATAGATATTGTAAAAGTAATGTATAACAAATTTTAGTAAAATATGTTTTTTATATTTATTTTTAGGATATTGAAGAAAAAACTGCATAACTATTTAAAGATTATAACTTTTTTATTTTCTATTATATCTGCAAATACGTAGAGTCAGGTCATTTTAATACTCATCTGCGAATACAAAGGCTTGGAGACCATTTCGCGGGACTCACGGCGACCATTCACCCCCTCCCTTATTGTGGATAGATGTGTGGAATGGAGAAGAGGTAGAGAGTTGTGAAGATATAAATAGATATAAATAGATATATATTTACTGTGGAGATGTGTGGAATGGAGAAGAGGTAGGGTGTTGTGAAGATGTAAATAGATATAAATAGATAAACATTTACTGTGGATAGATGTGTGGAATGGAGAAGAGGTAGAAAGTTGTGAAGATATAAATAGATATGAATAGATATATATCTACTGTGGATAGATGTGTGGAATGGAGAAGAGGTAGAAAGTTGTGAAGATATAAATAGATATGAATAGATATATATTTACTGTGGATAGATGTGTGGAATGGAGAAGAGGTAGAGAGTTGTGAAGATATAAATAAAATCAAACACTGCCAACATCTTCATCAACTGGTGGAAATTCTAAATATAATAAATAATTATTTATCTTTACATTGCTAAATAATTGTATCATGAATTGTTAGATTAATTTAACATTATTAGAATTGTATCATGAATTGTTAGATTAATGTAACATTGTCAGAATTGTATCATGAATTGTTAGATTAATGTTACATTGTTAGAATTGTTTCACGAATTGTTGAATTAATGTAACATTGTCAGAATTGTATCACGAATTGTTAGATTAATGTAACATTGTTAGAATTGTCTCAAGAATTGTTAGATTATTGTAACATTGTTAGAATTGTTAGATTAATGTAACATTGTTAGAATTGTTAGATCACTGTGATATTGTTAGGAATTGATCCACGAATTGTTGAATTAACGTAACACTATTAGAATTGTAATAAATATCAAAATCTATAGTTCAGAATTAAGAAACTAACATTATGATATACTGTATGATTACAAAGATGTTAATAACGTCGTTAAATGATATATCTATTTCTTAAAAATAAAGCAAAACAGTTATTCAGAAAATAGTGATATTGACATTAAAGGAATTATTCACTGGCTTGAAAAACATTCTAATTTTTAGAATAATTCTAAAGTAAGAAATTGGTAAATATCTTATTATTGTTGATCAACGGAAAATATGTATCATAAAATTGACGAAATTTCAATAAAACGAAGTATTCTAACAAAATTATTATATTTTTTTAAAAAACATTTCTATATTTGGCATTATCTTGCAAAATAAATTCAGAGCCGACAAAAGTTTCTATCTTAACTATAAACTGTGCATTAACACAAATGCAGATCTACGGAATACTTTATTTTCTCCTCGATAACCCGTGGTGGTCACACCCTTCGGGGATAACTTTAATCAAGGATTCAAGCGTTTAACCTCAATATTAAAATATCCTCAAAAGATTGTTTCAACATGATCAAGATCAAGATTTTCTCTACACCATCATTGTTTCAACATGATCAAGATCAAGATTTTCTCTACACCATCATTGTTTCAATATGATCAAGATCAAGATTTTCTCTATACTATCATTGGTTCAACATGATCAAGATCACGATTTTCTCTACACCATCATTGTTTCAACATGATCAAGAACAAGATTTTCTCTACACCATGTATGTTTCAACATGTTCAAGAACAAGATTTTCTCTATACTATCATTGGTTCAACATGATCAAGATCAGGATTTTCTCTACACCATCATTGTTTCAATATGATCAAGATCAAGATTTTCTCTATACTATCATTGGTTCAACATGATCAAGATCAGGATTTTCTCTACACCATCATTGTTTCAACATGAGCAAGATCAAGATTTTCTCTACACCATCCTTGTTTGTAATGTTTGCTGCAAATTTTTTCATGTAAATCTCAAATCTCAGAATTTATAAAGTTGTAATCTTTGTTTGTCCGATATAAACTCAGCCGCAGATTTTCCTGAAATTTTTATTGGGGAACAGCTAAAATCCTAATTTCAGGGGATATCAGTTCCAAAACTAACACTTGGCCCATTAAAACTGACTGTTAGAATTGGGCCAAATCTGCAAAGTTATCTTTTTCTAGAGTATATATCTTTAAATCCAAGTCGAGTAGAACAAAATTATACTATATATTTATAAAAAATGGCTAAAACTACATATTGAATCAATTAATGTAAATTTTAAGCTAATAATAAGGTGTGAAAATTAGTTATTGATGAATCTTGATTTCATTTCGAACATGTCGCGTTTTCGAAACATATCCTGGTTTTGAGACAATCATCGGAATGTCAATTTTCAAGTCTTTTTAAGCACTTATGAAACAAAACAAGATATTTTGATAAGGTGAAATATAACAAAATACAAAATAAAAACAAACTGTTCTTTTATAATTTAAAAATCATTACAGCATTTAGAAATCAAGATATTAATATCATTTGTTCTTACAATATAGATTTAACTAGAAATGCGGGAAACTGTTTGTTTAAAATGCTTGAAAATAAATCATCAATATTCTCTAATTTAACGGATAAAATGTGGAAACTTAGATTCGAGAAATAATTCAGAAGTTAATTTAGTCTTCATAAGATAATTTTTGTTTTCAATGATTATTTTGTAAGTTATGAAAGTGAGTTTTTTGTTGAATTGTGGATTATACTCAAAAACGGGAAAGTGGGATTTGTCTTTCAAATTCAGGATATGTTCGCAAATGGAAAACCTAACATTGTCTTGAAAACGGTCAAGAAATTTAATATAAAAAGAACTACTTTTATAATTTCGATTTAAAAAAAGTTTAAAATTGGGAATTACTGTCCTCGTCGTGTTTAATAAAATGTTGGTCATAGTTTATATTATCGACTTTTACTCAATGTTAGAAATGCGCCAAGTGTTAGTTTTGGAACTAATGTCCCCTGAATTTACGACCAAGCGCTAGTATGCAGTGGGAGTATCTATGAGTATTCTGAGCAACACTTGGTTCTCGAGCTAGTAAATAATAAAAAATAAATTTAAAATGATGATAGGTTTTAGAAAATTCACCTTGTCCGCAGACTTGACTGAAAACCTGATGAATCCGAGAATATTGCCAATTATGCCAATAACTCCGACAAAAGCCTGAATTAGAATCTCAGTTTTTAATTATAAGTTTTAAGATTTTAATAGTTTAAATTCTAATTTCGGTTGAAATAATAAGTGTATGATTTGGATCAATCAAGTTAAACAAAGTTATGGATGGGTATCTTATTTTGTTCTTTTTTAAGCATTACTGTTCATAATTATTGGGAGCCTTCACGAGAATCTGAGATATTTAAAATCTTGTTAAAATTATTATTTAAAATTGTCTTTTAATATTTTTAAATTTTTTTATCTATGATAGGTACAGAGTCATCCACAAAGGTTGAGACTTCAGTGACGATTATACTTAATTTACACTGACTGTTTCCTGTCTTCTTTACAGTATCATACTTTGTGGGCAGCCCTGTACCTCAAAATATTTTAGAACTGTAAGCACCTCAAATCGCTCAAATTTTAAAAATAATGTCTCTCTATATAATACAGATTATCTTCTTGAAACTTTTTAAAAAAAATGGTAATCTTAACCAAATTAAACCTGTAACCTACGGACCTATGCATAAGTGCGTGAGCTAAGTCTGGAGGAATCTATGACAGATTTATTAAACTTAATAATTGTCTGCTAATAAATAGATAGACACTGGGAATAGCATGGACATATCTTTAACCCTATTCCTGCTGGTAATAATTAGCGTGATTGATAACATAAATAAAAACTAAAGTTACCATTAGAACACCCTCTACCCAGAATCCAATACCAGGATCAGGCAGGATTGTCTAGAAATATAATTCTTTTAATGAATAATTATGTATCTTACCCCGGCTCGTATCGTGTTTTGTGACAACTCACATAACCTCAGAGAAGGTTTTTGTATGTCTAAAATTGAGAAAATTCAGATTTATTTATTTTAAAAATCCGCAAAATTTTGAGTTTTATAATTACGAAAAAAATGCCGATTGAAAACTAACATTTAAACGGTTAAATTTTTGCTAGAAGAGGGAACCAATAGAAATAGTATGGCGGTAATATTTATCTTTCTATGTATCTCATTTTCCAATTAGAGATGAATCCTTATATCGGCGCGATCTGTAAATGGAAATATTTACTTCTACTGAAACTACATTGCAACCCCCTGGCCCATCCTAGCCTCAGCGCTTGGAAGTTGCCGCATTGGAAATGCACATTTGGGAAAATTTTAATTGGGAAATTGTCACTTTTGAAGTCGACCTTGAGAAAATGCCTTTAGGAATTAATACTTAACAAATATGTTAACACATTCACTTCTTCCGCTAATTACACTCCCTACACGTATTACTCAAACATCTGCAACATTACTAGATCACATATTTAGTAATTCAGATCCTGAGTCAAAAGAATGTGGAATCATCTACTCAAGTTTATCTGACCATTTACCCGTTTTTTCATTGTCTAAATGTACACAACATGAAGATAATATTGGTAGCAAACCAGTTCTAATTAGAAACACTTCAATCGAAAATAAAACCAAGTTTAAGGAAAAATTGTTACTCAATGACTGGACTCATGTTATGATAAATGAAGATCCTTCTACAGCCTTTTCTGAATTTTCTAACACTTTAAATAATATTTATGAAGAAAGCTTTCCATTTATCAAATATAAACCAAACAAAAATAAAAATTCTGTTAACCCTTGGTTCACTTCCGCCTTGCTAGTGTCAAGAAAACAAAAAGAAAAATTATTTAAGAAAAAAATCCTGAATCCAACTACAAACAATTTAGAAACTTTTAGAAAATATAATTCTGTTTATCGCACAACAATAAAAAAGGCCAAGACTAGTTATTTTTCTTCAAAATTTACAGAATACTCAAAAGACATCAAAAAGACCTGGTCTTTACTGAACTCTATTATATCTTCTAAGAAAAAAAGTCATTCAGTTCCTGATATTTTCACTGATGATGAAAAAAGTTTTGTGGGATCTGCTGAAATAGCAGAGGGTTTTAATGACTTTTTTGTGAACATTGGACCCAGATTGTCTAGTTATATTCCGGATTCTAATGTTAATTTTGAAACATATCTGAAGGAGCCATCCAAGGAAAATTTTGTGTTTGCAAATATTANCCAACCCTTACGCTGAGTATCCTCCCTTTTCTTTATACTCCCTCACCTCCTCCTTACCTTTTACCTGATTTATTATCATTCTTATGTTTAAAATGTACAATGTACATTGTTTTTATCTGCAATTCTCATTCGTTTATAGTGGGCCAACCAATTAAAACAACCTACTCTGGTTAGGCGGGTCCAAACTACATAGTAAATTGTGATTTTTTTATTTGTATTATCTCGTGCTTTGTAGTTGAATAAAAATATGAAATAATATGAAATATGAACAACAAGCTATATATATATATTTTGCTTGTCTGTTGTCTGTTTGTATTTAATAAACGTCAAAACAGCAAAATCGAGCGTGCCAAAATTCAAAAGTATATTATAGTATCATCCTTGATAAGACAAATTGTCTTACAATCCCTTTAAACTAAAAAGGAATTGAGTTTTTGCCACAAACTCAAATTTTCTAATTCTTATATCTTGGCAACCTAATGGTGGAAACCCTTGATATTTCAAACTTAGGCTATTTGATCTAACAGAATTCATAGTTTGAAATATCTAACGTCTACGAAATTGGATTGCAAACATATATATTAGAAAATCAGAGTTTGTGATAAAGACTCAATTCCCTTGAAATTGTATCGATATATTAATTTCCTAAATTTTCATAACATCTAGTTTCTATGATGTATATCACATGGAAGCCACACAAAATGTTTAATGATATGTATAATCCTAACTTTACACCTTGCTTTTATTTTAAATATTAAAACTATCTATCATCAGATTCTAATTATATAATTCAAATGTATTATATAAACCTTTTTGCATAAATGGAAATATGGAAATTATAATAGAAAAACCTTATACAATACAGTTTGTGGCTTGTGTCCAAAAGAAAAAAAACTTATTTTAAGACAGTTTTTTAAAATGCCTTTTGTCTGTGTGGAGTTTATAGTAAATATAATAGAAATATTTTGTATATCTTAGGTATACAGGGTTATAGGGTGACCTAAGAAGAATAAGACTGAAGCTATTTAAATGTGATTATCTCCTAATTAATTAAAGACTTTTGTCTTCAACAGAGTCTTTAAAATGCATAATTGTCGTCTTTGAAGTCTCATCATTTTTGGGTAGGTAACCTGTATCTATGTTTATAAAGTTGTAATCTTTGTCTGTCTGTTTGTTTGTTTGCCACTTGGAAGACCCACGACGATGTTCTCAGTTCTGTTTTGAAATTATAAGTTGAGTGGGTCTACCTCAGGGGGATGGATCTCCTCAGCTACCTCTCCGTGTGTATAGGCATGAGTGTACACTTGGGATAGTTTACTGATAAAGGATGTTAAGAGATTATGGCCTATTCATACAGTACAAATATCAAATATGCAGCACGCTTTCGGAGTACAAGTATATGGGGAGGTTTTGTATTTTGAATTTTACTCAGTTTTCATAGAACAGTTTATTAACGATGAAATATTGCTCTGTAAAAGACTGTAAAAGTACGTCTTCCTGTAATAATGTAATCCTGCACACGATAAAGGAGGAGTGGATTTCAATAGTTAAATGGAAAAAAAATTCTCCATTTAAATATTTTCAGAAATCACCCCCGAGTACTGTAATATACAAATTGACCTTTGGAAGTATACATGGCCTGTACCATTTGTAAAGAATTATCATTACAGGAACATTACACTGGTCTCATACTGAGCCTCTAATGGAATTATCGTACAGCATCACTCTATACACTGTAACCTCGATGGTCCAATTTTAGCTAAAATCGTATTTTACGACAGGGTCGGGTGAACGCTGGGACTAACAAAGAATTTACTAACAAAAGACCTGTCCTGGTGTTGAGGTATTAAACTGTCCAATTATCCTGGAGTTGGAGTCTAAGGTCTCCATTTGGTCTTCTAGCAGTCCTAGTTCGTCTACTCCAGAAGGGACTAGGATCCTAAATAATAAGTTCCATGAATAGACCTGGGCAAAGCTTCGTTATTGAGAATTAACAGGAGATTTCGTTAAAATCGGCAAAAAGGGTTAATTTTGAATTAGTTATGAACGAAACCATGGTTTTTAGAATTACAGTGTTTAAAGTTTTGACCTGTTTTGATATCTTTGAATTTTGAAATTTTCCCGCTAGTTTTACATAAAATAATTGTTAACGACAATTTCTGAAATAATTTCCTTTAACGGTGTCAGTAAAATTGAAATCGTTAATGAACGGTAGCTTTATGAAAAACAGAAAAATATCATCAAAGAATTGAACGTTCAGTTCTTAGCTTGAAAAGGACGGGTTCCTGGAAAAATGGAAACGACTAATGGTTAGCTATATTAACTACCTGTTGTAAAACGACTTGAAAAAAGGCCAAAAGTGCCCAGCCCTACCCGATACTCATATTTAGAATATATTTACACATTAGATATTAAGTGATCAATTTAAAACTTAAACGGTCCATTTTCAAGTATTATACTATAATCAAGATTTGTTTTAACTCGACGAAGGAAATCCATAATAATTTATTTACCTATCCGAATCTCCTGGACCCCAATCCAATGAAGATGCAACGGTGAAATCCTCCATTATTATTTTCTGAATAAATATTAGATTATTCATTGTCAATCATAAATCACAAACCTGTTGAATCTGCACAATATCACTGTAAACTAGACGAAAATTTATGCGACAAGATTTAAATCTTGCGTGCGATTTACTTTAGTTTGACTTAACTAATTAATAATCCTTTGTGTACATGCCATGTACCAGCTATAAATCCTTTGTGTACATGTCATGTATCATTTATTTATTCTTTGTGTACATGACATGTACCAGCTATTTATCCTTTGTGTACATGCCATGTACAAGCTATTAATCCTTTGTGTAGATGATATGTACCATTATTTATCCTCTGTGTATATGCCATGTACCATTTATTTATCCTTTGGGTACATACCATATACCAGCTAATAATCCTTTGTGTACATGTCATGTACCATTTATTTATTCTTTGTGTACATGCCATGTACCAGCTATTTATCCTTTGTGTACATGCCATGTACAAGCTATTAATCCTTTGTGTAGATGCCATGTACCATTATTTATCCTTTGTGTATATGCCATTTACCAACTATTTATCCTTTGGGTACATGCCATGGTAATGGTTAATTTTAACCATGTTATAGATGATTTTTGTTTCTTAACCCTATTCCGGCCGTAGGGGGGGGGGGGGGTTCACTGGGACTTTTCTAACTATCAAATGCCCCTCTCTCTTTTGACTTGAAGCGGGGCCTATATACCAACTGTTTGAGTCCTCAGGCATACTGCCTAAATGCCTTATTTTACCGTTGCTCGACTAAATCTATATTTAGACCCATTTCCGGTCGTTGGATTTAGACTTTGTATAGCTCTTTGGAAAGCCTCGGACAAAAGAAAACAGACTGCACAATTTTTGCAAAGAAATTTTGCATAGATTTTCGCATAGATGCCTTTGAAGAGAATTTGCACATTGTCAGTTTTCCTTGAATAAAAATTTTGTCTTAAAACATTTTGCAAATATTTATGCATATTTAAATTTGCCGTGGCAAGGGATTTTCAAAAATGTATGATTTATCATATTTCGCGTATTTTTTTTGCACATTTTTTGCAATAATGTTTGAAAATTTGCTTTTTTTCGCAGATTATTTAAGTAGAGTCCAAGGGCTTTCCAAAAATGTTTTAAAAGTTATAGATATGTATCACATTAAGGCCCCCCCCAGTCTATTCTGGGTAAACGAGACGCCAGCCTGAATGTAGTTAAGCCATACTCCATAACATGTTCTCGTACGTATCTATCCAGGTTCAACCCGTCTGCTATCAAAGTTAACCAGGACACAACCCACCTGCTCTAAATGCCACACAGAGACACAAGCGTAGCTATCCAACAAAGCTATTATAAAACAGGACACAACCCACCTGGCTCTAAATGCCACACAGGAACACAAGCGTAGCTATCCAACTAGCTATCAACTCAGTGCTCTAAATGCCACACAAGGACACAAGGCTAGCTATACAACAAGCCACATATATAGATCCCAAATGATGGGAACGATCCAACTTGGTTATATCAACACAGGGTTTCAGGATCTCTCTCTCGCAGTTATCAGTACGTAGTTATTCTTAAACTGAGGTGTATTTCCTTTAGTTTAGATTAGAATTAGTATGTATATAACGTACTTAAACAATCAAAATATGACAGAGTTATATATACGTACAGGGAATGAGCTAATCGCAATACAGGATTTGCATTATTACTTTATGAACAATGTACGAAGTAATTTTACAATATTAGCTATATTAATAGGGTTAATTTATAGTGATAAAATCTGTATTAGTATTCATCAGACCCCCCCCCCCCCCCCCCCCCCGGGGTTTTGGCCCCCCTGGGGGGGGGGGGGGGGAGGGTGGTGGTGTTAGAACACTCATTTCTTTATAGTTCTAGAAGTGTAGAATTGTGTAAATAAATCTAATTAATTTAATTACAAAGTGTGTATAACATACATTTCTTGGCAAGCTATAAGATCAACCCTTATCCACTATACAGTATACACAGCTTAATTAAAAAACATTCTCCTCTTTCTAATTAAGCCGAAGGTGGGAAATTTTGCATTGTGGAGATTAAGATCAATTAATGATCTTGATATTCTGTTAATCTGCAGATTAATTTAATTTTTATTCGATATCTCGCATGGTTATCGTACCTGCAGCATTTCTTAAATTTTAGGACAATAGTTTCGTTGAACTGAAAAGTTCCGTCAAAGTCAAGCTGTTCAGCGTTCTGTAGAAACCCGAAGAATACCAACGTTATTTTACCGTTACAAAACTGATTTTAAAAAGTATAAACTGATCAATGTTCTGTTTAAAGGAACTGTGAGTGTAATTTCACCCCAGTTCACACGGAACCTTTGAAAGCTTTGTCTGACCAAGTATGAATTAGATTTTATCAATATTTATAATTTTCAAAAAAAGTATTTTCAATCGTAGACTCTTCACAAAATTGACTTGCGGATTTCTACTGCAAAATAAGACATAAATCTTTTTTAACTTTTAAATAATGACAATATCTTTCACATTATTGATCAGATAAATAAAGGTTTAAAAGTTCCTCTTATGAATCAGACATTGCCATCTTTGCATGGAGGGTATCTTGAAATTACGCTAAAAGACTACAGTCTCTTTTTAAACGGAAATTCCGAAGAGAACTTTAAAGGATATCGATAAAGATTAAAGTATTCTGCAGATTAACGAAAGTTCGATATCAAGCATTGATCCCGAAAATTACAATACCAGAGGTGCCGACTCAGATAAATTAGCTAAACTCATATTAACCATATCACAATGGGGGGTGTTTTCCACCCATCCCCCTGAGGTTTCTTCTGAATAACTTACATTAGAACGTTTAAACTTCTTCATTTTTCAACATCATAGTTCTGAACATATTTGGCTAAAAAACTTTTTTTGATGGATAGGGTAGGATGGAGAACGGTCAAACGTCGGCGGGTATGTGTTTCAAAAAAAGTCAGAAATGGTTCATAACTTTTTTTTAATAAAGCTACAGGGCTTAGACTTATATATATTTGAAATGCCTTAAAAATAAATGTAATAACAAGTATCATATGTTAATATTTGTCAAAAGTAAAAATAACTATTTTTAAAAAAATGTTCGACATGCTTTTAGAACTTTTCAAAAATCCTTCATAACATCCAAACCATGAAAGTTAGAGGTCTTATTTTTTTAATGAGCATACCTTGAAAAGTTGGACTTGGGACATGTATCACACTCCCCTAACTCAACTCTTATGACAAAGTCATAGGGGGGGGGGTTAAACCCCCCCCCTCATCTATATTAGACAAGTTTTACCCCTATCGGAATAGGGTTAAACTCATGAATAAATTAGCATAGATCATTAACTCTTACCAGTAATATTTATCTTGCCAGAGTCCGAATTTAATGAATTTTAGCCGCGTCTTAAATCCGCAAAAAAACCGGTTTCAATTGAGCGCCGTCTTAAATCTTGAAACATTGAATACAAAGGAATTGAGTCTTTGCAACAAACTATGGTTTTTAAATCCCTATATCTTAACAACCCAATGTTGCAGACCTTAGATATTTCAAACTTTGATTATTTGATATAACAGAAGTCAAAGTTTGAAATATCTAAGGTCTGCAACATTGGGTTGTTAAGATATAGGGATTTAAAAACCATAGTTTGTAGCAAAGACTCAATTTCTTTATGTGGAACCAACCAAATTTAGGCCGCGGCACAAATTCGGCACAAGAATAAGGAGCAATAAAGTGTCGTGAAGGTTTTTTATAATAAGAAATGAAGTGTATTATTTATTTAGTATTTTATTCGATACTAAGCTAGCTGCCACATATAGAAATTAATTTAGGATCTAGTCCCAGCAAATAAACAGTTATTAATTCTAAACAGATATAGAGATATGCATATTAAACTCACATGGAGTATAGAAAAATGTAAAAAGAGATTTTCTGTTATTTTTATTAGTGTTATTTCATTTTATTTTTATCATTATCTAAACCTCTAAATCCTAATTCTTAAGCTTTTTGTCCCATTGATGTCCCTAAAAGGACTTTTTGGGCTTTCAAAAAGACCAACTTAAAACTTTGAATTTTAAAAATATTCCATATGAGTAAAAGTCTGCTTTTTATTGCTATACTCCTCAAAAAAAAAGGTCAAAAACACATCAAATCTAAAGACAAAGTTTAAAGACAGTTCTTTTGCTTTAGCACATATACAACTAAAGAAAGCCTTAAAGGGACAGACCGGCTATGTAAGGTAGTTTAACTGAGTATGCTGTGTTTTGGACAAATTCTTTAGGATTCATTTGAGACATATAAAACGTTTCCACGATGAATAATCACCGAGTTTTATTGCAAAGTCGGCGTTCAAAATCCTGAATTTGGGTGGATACGTTTTCAGAATAGGTTTTTTTAAAACTATTAGATAACGACGACGAAAAGTAAAGTAAAATTATACAGTAAACTAATTTAATGTTTAGGAAAATAGTTCTCATTAAAAATTTGTTAATAAATCAATGTTAAAATCAATTATTTCGTTTTCATCATTATATTGAATTTCTTATTTTCTATGAATTTGTTCGCAGATTTTTACAAATTCTTCAAATGTCGTCTTTTCAATAAAAATTCCTTAAAATCTGGAGAAAATATTTGTGATTAATCAGAGAATATAGAAACTAATAATTGAATAAGATTACTTATTTTCGATGACTTTGCGCTCAAAACAAAGTTTTACATATCTCAAATGAATCCTAAAGAATTCGTCCACTACATTGCATACTCTGTTCAACTACCTTACATAGTCGGTCTGTCCCTTTAAGTATAGAATGTTTACAAAAAAATGGAGGAAAAAAATGTCAAATTACTGTTTCTTAAAAATTTGAAAAAATCAATCAGATATGTAATCAAAGTTGGATGGGGGGGGGGGGGCATTTTTGACAAAGAAGGGGGAGGGGTTAATGCCTCAAACTTTAACTTATAAGTAAAACCAAATTTGAACATCATTTTATT